CTTTAAATGCTTATTTTTCCTGAAATAGATGATGACTAAATTTGTGTGGAAAAGTTTGTTAAAACAATAAATTTCTTCATCAGTTCTCGTAAGATAGATGCTTTTGTTTATGACAGCCATGGTTCGACAGGTCCTCGTGTATCAACTTCGTTGACGTGCTACATGAAATAAATATAATATATTACATTAATGTTTAATATTGTTTCATCTTTATTATTTTATATTATTCTTTAATATTCTTTAAATCCAACGATTTAAACTAATTGCTGGAAAGATGAAATTGGAGTGGAACGTTTGTAGTTTACGGTCAAAATGGACCAAATATGAATCTTTCTTCCAGAAAACCATTTTCAATATGAAATTAAATCTTTTTTGGAATGTAATATAGAGATGCATCTTTAAACTGCAAGAAAAACATCGTTTTAAATTGAATTTGTTTACTTATTTATTGGACAATATACAATCACGTCAACGTTGAAAACCCTTAAGGTAGGAACATGCTAATGTCACATGTCAAGTGAAATCGCGCGAGATCATGTGAAATCGAAGGAAAAATAATGGACGTGAAATATGTACATACATATGTACGTCCGCGCGCGACAATAATGTGAACAGTGTGGCGTGATCCTGATCTGTTTCTAACAGATTTGAAATAATGGAAATATGCAGCTTCGCGCTCTTCGAACGTCACATGATTTCACGTGATTTCACGTGACGTGGCCAATTATTATGTTTCTATCTTTACTTGCATGACGCGTGGCATCTGTCACGGTCACGTTAACGCAACAAACGAATGACTTTCTTGAAGTTCAACAATCTACACCGCGATCAAGCCAAATTCGAAAAGAGAACGCGAAAAATTCACTTCCAAGATCCCGAAGAAAATTGATCTTTTCCCATTAGGAAAGTTCGCTTTATACTGTTAAAAATGTCACAACCCAAAACCAACATCAATATCGTTGATACAGCACCTGGACAAACGAATAACAGAATCGATCGGGCTACGTTCCAATTTGATCGAAATGATTAAAAACGCGTTCGAATCTTCGATATCCATCGAATTGCATTAAACGACCCGTGGCTTCTCGTTATTTTTGCGAATTCGGCCAAAAACTGTTCGGTGCCCGCTATTGAAATGTTGCGCCGATTTCTGCAAAGAAAAGAATTCGATTTTTATAACCAATTGCACGTGAATCTGCCCCGTTAATTCACTGCATTCGAAACGAGTTTCGCATTCGCTCGATGAGAATTAGTTCGTCGGAGCTTGAACGGACGAAAGGGAAGCTTCGAATGTCGGCATCGGAGGGGGTGTTAATGCGTTCGGCTGTTATATTTATACCCGTATCTATCTAAAAGAGCGTCATATTTCCGCGTGAAAACTGGACATTAGTATGGTAATGGGCGCCGATATTAGAACGGCCCACGCTTTCGGCACCTGTTACGCAGCGAAAACGCGCGATTCGCAGGTCGCGTTCTGTTCGCAGTTACGCAAACATCTTGGACGTCGACCCCGCAAATTCCGTGTACACATCACCGTTTACATTACGTCGTCGTGGTCACGTCATCGACGATGCAACGAGCTTTCGTGGACCTTCAACTCTCGCGGTTCGGGGAACCAATCCCGTGGTCTTACTTCACTAGTAATTTTGGAAACTTTTCTGTCACCGTCTCACTCGCCATCCCGGAAAATAAATATTAGGTTCGCGCATACGAGACGGTTAATTTGCCTCATATATCTGATAAGCTCGTACGTACGCCAGTGTATTTCGAGTTGTTCTTTCACATTTGAGCCGTTTATTTTGAAAGCGGCATAAGTTACTTTGGTGGTGATTTTTTAATGTTTATACGAAATTATTTATACCGAGACAAATATCAGTATCCTGAGACAACGAATACAAGTCAATCTTCTCGAAAGTTAGCATCCATATTTTGAAACGGTGTTAAAACGCGAACCCTTAAATATATCGACTTGAAAACAAAGTGACTTGCGCCACTTTCAAAATAAACGGCTCATTTTTGGTTTTTGGTGCCTTGATCCCCAGGTTGCTCTATATTCCTTTATTTCTCGAACTTTGATAGATTTTTGTGCACAATATGAGCACAGGAAAGTTTATAAAGCAATTCAGCTTTATTTAAAATATTTTATTATCGGTTATTGATTACAGAAATTATAACAACCTGTTGTACAAGGGACTTAGATTGAAAGATCATGAATTTTCTTA